AGAAATATGTAACTACATCTCTACATGACATTAAAAAAAAAAACCCTGTGTAGTTGACGCATCCTCATGTGTTACAACACGTATGAGTATACCTGAAAGTGTCCGCTGCTTTAAGAGCACAGAAGGAAATATGACTAATTCTGCAGCTGACCTTCCAGAAAAGTAATGACGACATAAGCCATGTTTGACAGGGAGGGGGATCAAAGTGATTTTATAATGTCAACCCACCAATAAAAACAAAAAACCTTCAAAGGCAGATACCTAATGAATGCTGAGCTGGACGTATTTATAGGCCTGATGGATGAACCGCATAAAGGAGAGCTCAACGTGGAGTGTAATCTGCCAAATCTGTTTAACAGGGAAACCTACTACTTCCACCATGATTGAGGTAGTACTTTTACAGAGAGTCTTCAAAGAGTGCAAATATTTAGCTTTTGCCCTTAGGGTTATGATTAAGGGGGAGTTCGCTGAGAGTGGAAAAGCGTCAGTGACGATGTATCACTCACCTTCCTTCTAATTATGTCCTGATTTATTTATTTTTTTCCCCACTGACACTGACGCTGCACGACGACTCATAGCACCGCGTTACGCCTTGTCTTTTCTTGTTCTGACCTGTACTGTACACATACTATTAGTACTGTACATAGTACTTGACTGTAAGTATTGTGGGAAATACTTGGACCCGGAACAACATTTTAGTTATTGATTAATATTTAATAAAATATTTGTCTGATTAATTGTTTAGTTTACAAATTTTGTTTCTATAGACTAATGACTATGATGCGATAATTTTTCAGTTAAAAAATAGTCCACATACAACCGACTTTTTTTTATTATTATTTGTCGCCTCTTTTCAGTTTCTCCAGTGTAAAGATTTGCTGTTTTTGGCAGCCTGAATATCTTTTTGTTCTGGGCTTGAATAATTTCTCAGTGTCTGCTTCTGTTCTTCAACCATAGCATGTTCGCAAGGTTGTCTTTAAGAACTGAGCAGGCATAGTACAATTTTTTTAAGTGTATATTGTGGCAGTGCAAATTTTATTTATATAGCACATTTCATTACATGCAAACTAAATGAGGACCAGTAAAAACACATTTACAGTTCCTAAAAGGAAACAAAATATAATGAACAAAAGAAAAAGCTCCTATTTACTGTAGGACTGCGTAAATAAAAATAGATTTATTTAATGCTTTTGATGCACAATTTAATTGATCAGCTGGGAGCTTGTTCCAAAGAACAGGAACACAGTGACTAAAAGCCCCTTCAGCTCACTTAGATCTGATTCTGGGAACAGTTCAAAGATCTGCAGCTGATGAACTGAGGGGGTTGACCGGACTGTGAACAGTAAGCAAACAGGAGGTGTACTGAGAGGCCAAACCACTGAGAGCCTTAGGAACTGTAAGTATTTTAGTGGTAATTCTGCATTGTGACTTCAATACTAGAGTTCAATACCAAGCCCCCGTTTGTCACTGACAATTTAAATTCCAATAAAGTTTTTTTGTTTGTTTGTTTTTTAATGAAGGAGACTGTAAGGCCTGTGGTGGCAAAAAGTAAAATAGGCATCATGACTTCTTTCTTACTTTTTTGGTTGCGGCCTTGTCAAAGTAAGCATTTTGACCAATTTGGTCATTTTCAGTCATTTATTTAAATTAAATTAAAAAAAAAAAAAGCTACATCTTACATTATGTTGTAGCTGTAATCAGAATATAATTAATATATATATAAAAAATCAAAATCTTGGAAATCTTGCTAGATGTTATATTGTCCTGATTTAATCATAAATGTATATTTTAACCCTTTAAAGCCAAGAATATCATATTTGGTACATGTGCTCTTGTGAGTTTTTGAGACTTCTACTTCATCAGCGTTTTTACCCTTAAAAAATGATATAAATTTCATGACACATTTTTAATGACTAAATTGCAAAATTATGGCTAATGTAGCAAATGTTTGTACAAATTAAAACTAACAAAACAAATTAAGATTTGATATCTATATCTATCTATCCCTATATATATATAGGGATAGATAGATAGATAGATAGATAGATAGATAGATAGATAGATATACTGTCTATTGTCTTTATTATATATGTTATTTTTTTTACATGTAAATAGATGGAATTGTTTTTTTCGTTTTTCAGTGAATTTCAGTGCAATCTCTGTTGAAGGTGAGAGCAGACAGGTTTCAGTGGATGGGCTCGGAAGTGTTTGGTGTTTGCATGACGATGACAGTGAAATGGTCTTTGCTGCTTGTAAAGCGACATACTTTATAGTGCTGCCTCACAAAGTCAGATCCGTACTACAATGCCAACTGTTGCATTGCCCTGCAGACGGGTTCCCATGTTGTTGTAAAATGCCAGACCGCAGTGTTACCTGTAATGTTTCTAAATATGAGCATCTATTATCAGAT